AACGTCGGAACTATCGCCCGCAGGCTCCTAACGCTGTACGGGAAAAACCCGTCCTGTGCTACCACCAACTCGCCCGTGATATCAAGAGGAGGGCGTCCGTGAAGTAGGGTCAACGGGTCGCTCGAGTCCTCCACTCAGAAGGCAGCTACCTCTTCCCCTAGGTAGCGTAACGCCCTGCTAACTGTGCCACTCGTCCCTGTCGTCGCGAGGCCCACCACGGCCTCCCTGACCGCACCTGGTCCCAAATACAAGTAGGCTCTCACTACGCCCACTCCTTGCCCCGGCCGGTGCTCTCTGTACGTCCAAAGCCACACGTCCTCGGACAAGATTATGGACCTCCACGCAAACTGGCCGTCAACATGTCGAATGTTGCGCCCGAGGATCGTAAGCTCGACCAGATCCCCCTCTATGAGTTCAGGGGGCTTCAAGTCCCAGTCAATGGTAGCCCCATAGACCTCTACTCGCACCCGCGACCACATTCAACTGGCGGCTAGAGAGAACGCAGCAAGAGGGAGGTGTAGATTAATGACTGAAAATTCCCGTCGCTTGCCTCTCGCCTTCGGGAACAAGCTAGTAGGTTCACCAGAAACCAGGTTACCGCAGCGTCTCTTTCCCTTCTTCTTCTTCTAGGGAATTTTTTTGTATTTTTTAATTATAAATTAAAGAAAATGTATCTAGTTAAGATAAAATTTCTTTCTTAGTTTATATATATTAAGGATCAATACATATATAAGCCCGCCGAGTTTGATGATTTTTAGGGGTAGAAATAAAATTTGGGGAATTTACTAAAACTTCGGCAGCGTTTCGCCTCCCCCCGTTGGGATGGGGTTCGGGCGAAACCCTCAAACAGCGCTGCCGAAGAGGGAATATCAAAAGGAATAATGGAAAAAAAGAAAAATTGATTTAACTCGATTTTTAAATATTTTCGTTAATTAATTAGCAAAAAAATAAATTAAAAGGGAAATTTCGAAAAATTTCGACAGCAGTTTTTCTCCCCCCCCCGGTGAGATGGGGTTCGGAAAAAAGTCCCTCATATAGGTAAGGTAGATATGAAGAGCATTGAAGTCAAACAAATGCCCCTACACAATTTTTAATATTTATTTCCATTTTTTTATCGATTTTAAATAACAAAATCAAAAGTAAAATAATTCTTAATTATTTAATGGGGCAAAACTTCCCGAATTAATTTCCCCAATCTTACGGGATATATTTGACAAAAAATAATCCGTAACAAATGCGGAAGCTAGAAGCTATGGCTTCCCTCCTTCTACCCGCTTCTCTCAAAATTTGGGTTAGGACTTCACCCTAATTAGGGTTTCCCCTAATTAGGGTTTTGGGTTTTGCGCGCTACCGCACGAACACCGCAAAGCCCTGCTCGACGCGAGAAAATTTTTGTTAGCTTTCACCAGTTTTAAAAGAAAAACTTATTGGATTACATTTTTAAATTCCTTTTTTTTTTAATTTAAACAAAATTACAAAGAAATTAAATTTCCCATTGATTTTCTTCGCCTTTTCTATCTGTTAGAGCTCGCCGTTTGTCCAAACAAAGTCCGTTTTTCCCGACTAGGGTCTCAAAATGTCGGGAAAAATACAGGGTCCAACTTTGGTCCCAGCGGGGTCCCCTTAATTTCGCTTATTTTCCCGACCATTTCAATAAAACGAAAATCAAAATTTTTCAAATTTTTAATCAAAAATTACAAAAAAATTTATATCTCGCTTTTTAGCTGTTCGAATTTCTCAAAAACTGTCTTAAAACGTTCGCCTCAATGAAAAGACGAACTTTGCTTCGGTGCGCCTCGCACGAAAGCGCGCGGATCAGGAGATATCAAGGAAAAAACAATTAGAAATTTAAACTCATGATTTTTGAGATTTTCAATTAGAAAAATACAAAAAATTCCATATCTTTTTTTCTAGCCATTAGAATTTTTGAAAAAATGTCTCAAAACGTTCGCCTCGACGACAGGGCGAACTTCGCTCCGGCGCGGCTCGCGCAAAAGAGCGCGGATCGGGAGATATTTCAAAAAAAATAAATAAAATGATTATAAAAAATAAAACTAATCAAGAAAACAAGCTAATTAGTGTTTGACTAATCAGCCCGTGCACCCCCGTTGGTTGGGGAAGGCCGCAGCCTTGGGGGTGCTGCTCCCCTTCCCGGCAACAGCGCCAAAGTTGTGAGGAAATCCGGGGAGGGGCGCCTACCGTCCTCTGAAGCCAAGGGCCACGGCGTCTGTCACTCGCCGCGCCCACTTCCGAGGTCCTCAGCGACCAGCAGCGGTCGAGGATGGGCGCGTCTCGTCGCGCCACCTATTTTTTCTTTCTTTCTTTTTGTGATTTAACAACTTCACACAACGGTGAGTTTCAACAATG